GCAGTGAACTCGGCCTACCGTTCGGCTACTTGAAGGCCAGCACAACGTTGACGTGTGTGAACCTATTCGTGTTGCCATACAATTACCCAATACTACTGCCCCTATTGGAGGACCTGTTCAAAGTGCAGTCCGGCAAACCCACTCGCGAGTGGAAAGTCCAGTTCGACAACTATCTCAAGATTATGCCACTGTATTACGCGTCGCCGTTGAAGCGAGCGCTCCAGCGTATGGGCGCTCCCAATCTGGTGCCCGACAATATGGAGAACTGTCTCTCATATCCGGTCCTCAATTACTTGAAACGTCTCAAGAATTTGGCGAAAGCCGAGTACGAGAAGCTCGTGGCCAGCGTTGGCACCATTAAGCCGCCGGCGATGCTTCAGTCGGAGGGCAACCGTGTGGTCAACAGCAGTCCAAATATGCGCAAAATGTCTGAACTCGGCCTCTGCTCTAATCCGTTGCTCTCCAAGCGATTCGTGTCACTGAAGAACGAATTAAACGAATTTCCCGGTTTTGTGATCCGATTCCGCGACAAATACGCCAACGACTCGAAGACCCACTGCTATCGGAACGCGTTTGACATAAACCGGACGGAACTGTTGGATCAGATCATGAGAATGCGTACGAATTTCATGCAACGCCACACCACTGCCATCCGGTATCAGGACGAGGACCAGTTGCACAGTTTGCCAATCGCTCAGATGGGCAACTATCAGGAGTATCTGAAGCGAATGCCTGTGCCGTTACGCGAGTTGGAGTCCACACCAGTCCGACAGCACATGTTTGGCAATCCGTTTAAAGTGGATAAGAGAGGAATGATGATGATTGACGAGACCGACATCGATCTGGTCGGCAGCGGAGGCGGTGGTGGCGGCGGGTCGTCGCCCGCGCGCAGCCCTAAGCGTACGGCCACTGATATCTATCTGAATGGCCCGAAGCCGAAGCGCAAACCGGGGCCTCTGCCCAAAGACTTTCCGATGCGACCGCTCAGTCCGATCCCTAGTCCGCCGCCATCTCCCACACCAATGACGGCCATTCAGTTACAATCATTCCCATCGACACCACCGCCATCGCCATTACCGACGCACACGCCCTCAGCCTCACCATCACTGCCACCTCCGATGCAGACATCAGTAGTGAAAGGCGTGGCCAACGGTAGCGCAGTGTTGGGTCGACCTAAAGATCATTTGACGTTAAATCCGTTGACAACGTCGACGACAGTCAACAGTGAAATGAATCAAAAGTCAGTGATAGTAACGCCTAAAAGTAGTGCCACAGAGACTACTAATTCTTCGCCGATCGCATCGACACCACATCCCAACTCATCCGCCGCTCAGAGCTTACCATTGAATTCGATTCAAAACAACTCATCGACAATAGATTTAGACATTCAGTCAAATAATCATAGCTTAAGAACTATTAATGAAATTGAGTCTAAAAGTGATTTATTGACACAAAAACATGAAATTGAAATTTTAAATAATAATAATAATAGTAATAATATTAATAATAATAATAACAACAATAATAATAACAACTCGAGTGTTATCACCAATAATACTAATATTACAAATAATAACAATTTTAATAATACAAATAGTAATTCAATAAATTTGAAAACTAATCCACCGCTTGTAGTGCCGGTCAACGGACGGTTAAGCGGCGCTCAGCCTTCGCCGTCATCGCCGCCCCCGTCGGCCAACGAACTGACAAACCATAGCGAACACAATGGCACCGATAATCGGGCCAACAGTTTGGCCGCCAAGAAAGTCCAGTTAACGCCCGAAGAGTTTGAGTTAAAGCGATATTTGTTTAAATTGGTCCGAAGGCCCGGAAGAAGTGAGTGATTGATGATTGCATTAACAATGTGTTCAGCGATTGATTTAATTAATTATTGTTTTTTGTTTAGATTTCGATGAATTACTTCGCGAATTGTCACACATTCGGCTCTCACTGCGCGACCAACTGTTACAGGAGGTGATAGCGGAGGCCAATCGGTTTAAGCGCCGGTCGCTGATTGAGTTGTTGTGCAACACATTCAAACGCTCGCCGCACGACATGCTGTCCGCCTGTGGTGTGGAGAGTGTGTGATATAAACCGATTATTTATATAAATATAAATGTGTTGTTTATTTTAAATATATTATTGTTATATTTTGTTGTTATTATTCACACACAATGTTTTTTTCGGCCACCAAAAAGGCAAAACCGATCGGTGCTCTCATTCACATCCCAGACAGTCGTCAGACACACGCTATTCAGTCGCCAAATGTGTGGTTTCGCTGCAAATGAAAGTGTGATTATTGAGGAAATGAAGTGAAATTGTGTTTTATTTAATGAGTTTTTATTTAATTATGACGACAAGAGGGGTGGGGGCGACACAACCTGTTGTCTAGTGTGGTGTCCAGCCCTCAGCCCACACACACACACATCCGATGTCTCTCTCCTCCCGAGAGAGTAATGGGCACTAAATCTTCTATTTATTTTAGAAGCAAACTGTGATTTATTCGCCACTAATTTCTATACATTAATTATTATTGAGATAATAAGTTATTCATTATTTGAAATTGTATTTTCTTTTCAAATGATATCGTTTTTTGTCGATCTTTTTCATGAGATTTCTTTAATGAAATTTTTTTCATAAAAATAAATTTTAAGTTTTAAACGATTTGAGTTTTTGTGTGTTGTTTTGCTTTTTGTCCAGCAATCAGACGTTGATTTTGATTTCCATTTAATGCTTATTTAGGGATCTATTTAAAAATCTTACGATCAATTGATTGTCATTTATTGCCATCGTTTGGATTTCGCAATCAATGAGATTGGTTTGACGTAATGTTTTTTCCTGAACTTTGTTTTGATTTTTGTTTTACACAACTTTTGATTTTGTTTCTCTCGTTTCTCATTTAATACATTATATAAAATACGAGACTCGCTATCAATGAACACACGCTAATAATGTAGGCATTTATTGGCACTTAAAATAATTTTGCCGATAAATTCTGTGCGAAAATTGTATTTTCAATTTTGTTGTTGTTTTTTGTCGCAAAATATAACGCTTTAATGAGTGGAAGCAAATGAAAGAGAAGTTCATTGCCTTTCATTTCCAAATAACTTTTGTCCACTCAATTCATATTTCCATACATTATATAGTTTTTTGGCCAAATATTATCATCCATTTGCGGAGATCTTATTTTTATTATCGCATTGAATGCAAAACAAATGTGAATATATTTAATGAAAACATATTTTTAATAATCATTTTTTTTGGAGACCAAAATAGTTTGGAAGATATTAAACGAATATATGATAAATATATTCATAAAAATAGATAATGTTTTTTGTCAATTATGTGATAACAGGTGTTGTTTCATAACATAGGAATGTTTGGGTAATGGAAAGGGAGTTAGGGTTAGAGGAGAGGCAGGAATGGATGGAGAGATGGCATACACTGCACGCAAATGGCATATTTTATATAAGTCTTAAAATTGATTTTGTTTATGAATAGCAAAACTGAATTACAAATACAGTATAATTAACATTATTTAAAAATGCCATTTGATTAGCAATTGAAAGACTTGTAATATCACTGTTTGACGTCCGTATAAGTCTTTGCTCACAACTGGAATAGTAATGAATCGTAAACCAAACAAAAAGGGGAGAGAGAGAGAGAGAGAGAGAGAGAGAGAGAATATATAATTTATATGGATTATTTTGTCCTAAATATTTAATTTGATTTTTATTAGAGAGAGAGAGAGAGAGAGAGAGAGAGAGAGAGAGAGAATAATCCCATAGAGATTCGTAACGAATGTTGTGTTCAATTGTATGGAAATTAAAAATAAATTTTCTACTCTTTTTTATAAACAATTTTTTGGGTTAATCTATGAAAAGCTGACAACACTTTCACTTCTAATGATTGTTATATGAATTACAAGAGAAAATGTTATGAAAAATAACTCTATTGTTGACTCGAAAATATATGAAGTAATATATTATATATAATATCTGTTATTCATTCTGGAAATGCAAATGAATTTATTTTTCAAATCCATTTATCATCTCTTTCTATACAATCATTATTTGCTTCACTCGTAAAACATTTGCCTTTTTTCACTCGCTTTCTCTCCCAATAAAAATGCATTTCCTTTCCAAACAAAACAACACAAAAAAGTTTTATTTTTCATTTCATTATACATCCAATGAATCCATATTTCATTTGATTTCAAATAATTTTTATTGTTGTTTAATTTGAGTTTATTTTATAAAATTTAGAAACGATTGAATCATTGGCTAAGAATTTCACTTAAAATGAAGTTTTTATATGCAATGAAAAACAAAATAGGTTTTTATGAACTAATAAACAAAGTCTTAATTGGCTTTGAATCGCAAGAATTAAATGCCCGATGCATTTGATGCACAAGTTTTTGGGTTTAATTTTGATCACATGTTTTTGAAGTCATATTTTATATTAAAATTTACAGATTTTTTCAGATCATAAAATGTAAAAATGAAGACAAACAGCAAATTTATGCAAAACTCTTTGATAAAGGCTTTTTGGGGCTATTTTTAGTTTTGTTTGAAAATCCTATTTTCAAAACCACTTTCGCTGAAGATTTCTCATACCATTTAATGAGGATTTTTGAGAGAGAGAGAGAGAGACAAATCCATTTATCATCTCTTTCTATACAATCATTATTTGCTTCACTCGTAAAACATTTGCCTTTTTTCACTCGCTTTCTCTCCCAATAAAAATGCATTTCCTTTCCAAACAAAACAACACAAAAAAAATTATTTTTCATTTCATTATACATCCAATGAATCCATATTTCATTTAATTTCAAATAATTTTTCTTGTTTTTTAATTTGAGTTTATTTTATAAAATTTAGAAAACGATTGAATCATTGGCTAAGAATTTCACTTAAAATGAAGTTTTTATATGCAATGAAAAACAAAATAGGTTTTTATGAACTAATAAACAAAGTCTTAATTGGCTTTGAATCACAAGAATTAAATGCCCGATGCATTTGATGCACAAGTTTTTGGGTTTAATTTTGATCACATGTTTTTGAAGTTATATTTTATATTAAAATTTACAGATTTTTTCAGATCATAAAATGTAAAAATGAAGACAAACAGCAAATTTATGCAAAACTCTTTGATAAAACTTTTTTTGGGGCTATTTTTAGTTTTGTTTGAAAATCCTATTTTCAAAACCACTTTCGCTGAAGATTTCTCATACCATTTAATGAGGATTTTTGAGAGAGAGAGAGAGAGAGAGAGAGAGAGAGAGAGAGAGAACTTATTAAATATTCTTGAATAATGAATGTTCAGGTCTTTGAAAGTAAAGGAGATTTTAATAAATATTTTCATAATTTTTGTTTTTTGCACAAAAAACCTCTCATGAGATTTTGATCCGAAAGTGAAAATGCAATAAGAAATGTGAGAAATGAATGATAAAACTAATGCCAACAAACGGATACCGACTCCTCAACAGTGAAAAAACACAAAAATATATAATAAAATTATTCATATATTTAATGATACGATTGGGATATAATGCCCGAGAATTACTCGTAACAAAAAAAAAGTAAATTAATTTAATTTTAATACTTTTTCTTCATAAATCAATTCTCTATATAAATATAAATATTATTTTAATGCCAAGGATTACTGGCCCCAGTCGTAGACACTGACCCCAAACTACTGGATCTGATTGAGACAATCACAAGGATATATTGATCCGATTAGCAATTGATGTCATTTTAATGCAATGTCTATGCAGTACAGCGACTGCTCTGAAAATTATGATCGCAAATAAATTAGCAAATAAATGGCAAAATGAGAGTCAAAATATTTATTTGTTTGATTTAACAAGAGTTTTAATCTAATTTATGATACTATTTGTGTTTAGTCTACAATACCAGTGGAAGTCTATGTAAATACAATACAAACGGAGCGGATATTGCGATAATACATACATGTATACGGAATGTAATATAAATATATGGGGTTTTTGTTTACGAAAAATTTAATTGAATAAAACATTCATGCCATCGGATAGAGTGCTAAAGAATATCTAAACTACTGCTCCAGTATTTCTCAGTTTAAATTTAATTAATAATTAATAAGTTGTTTCGGAAATGCATTTTAAATATATACTCTTTTTGGAGAAAAAACTACAAAATTCTTGGCATTTCTTCGCTTAAACTTCACAGTCGTTTGAATGCATAATATATGAAACGTTAAGCCATTGGGTGTTAAGTTCACTACAGAATTCAATATCGATTTGAAAATAAAAATGCAAAAAATATATGAATATATATTAAAAGTGTGTTTATATTATAAGATGGTTGTGAGGAGTAGGAGAGCGTACAAGTAATCCCCGGTCATTGAGATAACGGTCTTTATAAATAAGAGATTGAAATTAAACGTTAAGTGAATTTTCAATTCTCGACACAGTTTTAGGCGAAGAAGAGTCGATGCAAACGACATATAAATTTATATTTCACTCCAAACCATAACCACTGAACTTAACATTTGGTATCTTTATCTGTGTTTTCTATCCTTCCGTACAATCTTTACGTATAAATAACTGCTTAACAAAGAATACGTTAAAGACGTTTAGAGACATATCTTTATATATTTGGACTTAAATTTAGGCCATTTCTCTGCCGACACATGACAGCGACAATTGCATCGATATATACATTACATGTTATATAATATAATACTACCGGTGCTCTCACGGTATGCGTAGGCACTCGTCGTTATAATAAAGATCGCATCCATTTCTCGCACATCCAAACCATGCAATCCTTCGCAAAGAGTAGTGAAGAGCGGAAAAAATATTTATTACTATTTAAAAATTTATGAGATTCTCGAGGCGTTTGATTCACACTTGCATTTCGTTATTTCCTTTTTGTGTGATTTATACGTTTATCCGAGAAATTGTGTAAATCTTTTTTCGCTTCACTCGTGAAAAAATACCAATAAATCCTTTCGTTTTGTAACAAATTTTTCTTTTCTTTGGCTTTCAATAACAAAATTCAGTGAATTTTTTGTGTGTATATATTGAGAGAAAACTAGTGCCGGAAATATAACAATCAATTTTTCACACAAAATCTATTGAACACGAAATGCAATTTTCTAATCACTCGACTTATTTGTGGTGTTGTTCGGGGGTTTGTATTACACACCAAAACATGTCAATTATTACATGCTTTTTGTTGCCTTAATTTTTTTACTGTTAATCTCGACCAACATATGCTTTATATGGGATTTCCCTCTAAAAACGAGTTAACATTTCCTATTGATAATAGAAAAATACTGAGAAATTCTGAGAAATTATTTCAGAAAATAAGTGAAAAGAAATTGTTATGAATAATATATTTATGTTTTGCAGCAAAAAAGTAACCACTTTTTAAATACCATGAAATTCAGTGAGAAATAGATATTTGAAAGAGTGAGCGAAGAAATGGTTAATAAAAAACATTATTATTGGAAACTTATTTTTATGACAACTTCTTTTATCGTTAGGTTTTATTTGTTTTAGTTTTTAAATTTATTAAATTTAATCAAAACTTTTTGTTTAATGCAAACACAAAATTGCTATAAAAAGATCATTTGAGTTAACTTTCAATGGAAAGCTATAATTTTTAGTTTTAAAATTG